TTCTAAGTATCAACTTAAAAAGAATTTTTAAAAAATAATTAGGATATAAAATTTTTCATCAAAAGTAATATTTTCAAGAAGGTCGTGAAGTGTGTTGGTTGTTGAGGCCTCTTGAAATTACTAAAGAAAAGGGAAATTTTTCTATCTTTGATACCATGTTCTTATGGATGTAAACTTCACTTAACTGGAATACCTATGGGATGTGTAGTTCTGGGTAACAAAAGATGAACTGGGAAACAATCTGTAGTAGTGATTATAGAAAGTACTTCTGCCTTAAAAAGTATGATATGCCAGAGACAAGGTAGTGTTTTTGATGTTTGAAGCATTTCACATGCTTCATGTGTTGTACTGAACTATTGTAACTGAATGTAGGCCTGCCTGGGCTGGTACAAGGAATGGAACAGTTTACTGACATTGGGACATCACCTGGAATTTTTAAAAAATAAAAATGTTTATTATCATTTTACTATTATTATTTGTCATTTGTCTTTTAAGATTTGAATGTTAGCCACCATTTTGGAGCAAAAGTTTTAATTAATTGTAACTTTTAATTTACAGAAATAACAAAAGACAAAATAGGAATGCTTTTACTGTTGCCTAAACGCAAGTCACAGAAACTACTACATAACAATTACTGCCGTCTGTTTCTTGGTCACTTTGTTTTTTTAGTTATACATGACAGTAGAATATATTTTGACATATCATACATATATGGAGTATAACTTCCCATTCTTCTGGTCACTTTTTTGTAGTCTCAGGTTTTCTCTCCTACTTAAAAAATAGGAAGTAAAGAACAAAGAATGTGAAGAAAGAATCATGTTTTTCTTAACAGTATTCTAACCATCTCACAATTGTTTATTTATTTATTTGAGAGAGAATTATTTGTTTGTTTGTTTATTTATTTATTTATTTTTAGTTTTCGGCGGACACAACATCTTTGTATGTGGTGCTGAGGATCGAACCCAGGCCGCATGCATGCCAGGCAAGCACGCTACCTCTTGAGCCACATCCCTAGCCCCACAATTGTTTATTAATTATAGTGATATGAGTTGTTACTTAGCCTGTTGAAGGACTTTTTTTTTTTTTTTTTTTGGTAGTACTGGGGATTGAAACCAGGCATGCTTTACTACCAAACTATATCCCCAGCCTTTTTAAAATTTTTGAGACGGGATCTCCCTTAAATTACCTGGGCTGGCATCAAACTTGTGACCTTCCTTCTCAGAGAAGCAGTCAAATAGCTGAGATCAAAGGTGTGCACCACTGGGCCAGCTACTTTATAAAATACATTCTTGTTTCTCAGCATCAGTGTAAGAATAAGATTACAATACCCATTTCATAGGAAAAAAATGAATGTTTGTAAAGGTAAGTAAGTAGTACTAGATGGAATTTAAGCCCACTTCTATCCCCCAAGCTACAGAGGCAGGAAAATATTGCATCCCAAAATAGTCATTCTCAAACTTTATGATGAGACTAAAAAGAATTCCTGATCAATCTGTAGTTAAGGTAGAATATAAGTATTAAGAAAGTGTTGATATTCTAGTATCTACCCAACAAATTAAGGTCAATTATTTGCATTATCAAAATGTTTTTGATCCATATAAGTAGTATCTGTAGTTTTAAAGGAGTTGGAAATCAAGATCTTCTAGATAAACAATTCTTCTAGAATGTTAAAGTAAGACTTTTAAGTGTGGAATATTATAGAATGATATTTTAATTTTATTTTTTAGTTGTAGTGACACAGTACCTTTATTTAGTTTTAGGTGGACATATTGCCTTTATTTTATTTTTATGTGGTGCTGAGGATCGAACCCAATGCCTCATGTACAACTTGAGCCACACCCCCAGCCCCCTTTATTTTATTTACTTATTTTTATGTGGTGCTGAGGATTGAACCCAGGGCCTTGCATGTGCTACGCGAGCGCTGTACCACTGAGCTACAGCCACAGCCCCTAGAATGTCTGATATTTATTTGTTATACTTCCCTTTCTAGTGTCTTCAAACAGCTTTCTATTATACAGATTCAAAATCTGGGAATTGTCCTTGAATTTAACAAAAAGCATCCTTCACAGGAGGGAACCATAGCAATCCCAGCTCCAGAGATACATGGAGCATTTATTCTCTTGGCTAGTTTACATCCTTCAAAAAATCCCCTTTTTCTCCATTGGTAAAGCTAAGACAAAATGAAAATTTTTAAATGGAATCAAAATTGATGAAGATAAAATGAAAACAGCATAAATACATATGGATTTTCTGCCATTGGGATCATAATCCCCATTTTTTCCTCTGTTAAACAATATTTCTTCCCACTCTGCCCCTCTCTGTCCCCTCTAGATGCAGAGACTTGGGCAGGAACAACTGGTAGCAAATGGGGCTGATATTTCCTCCTTTCCCTGGCTGGTGTGATAATCCTCATACTCAAGGCACTCTTTGCAGGGACCTCTTTACTCTTCCCATCACCCACCTAGCCACTTGCTAGATACTTTTGATAATCTGCTATCACAAGTGTCCCCTTTATTTCCATTACAACCTTCAAAGTTCTAATTGAGGAGGTCAGGATTTTGTCTAAAACAAATTCTATAAATGACTGCATGTAATTCTGGTTCTGCTCTGTGCCCCTCAGTTTTCCCCACGTTAGTACTGAGGGTTGAACTTTTACGTATGCTATGCAAGTACCCTACCACTGAGCTACATCCCCAGCCTCCCCCCACCCTTTTGAGACAAGTGTTCCTCAATTGTCCAGACTGGTCTCAGACTTGTGATCCTCCTACCTTATCTTGAGTAGCTGGGATTACAGGTGTGTGCTGTCATGCTCTGTTTGTGCCTCAACTCTCAACGGATTTCACAGGAAAGAGTTATGGTTTTTATACCTTGCTTTCACTTTCCTTGTCCAAACCTTCAGGTGGAGTGGCCTCAGTGTCCAAATGGACAACCCATCTAAGACTAATTTTCCATTTCCTTCCTTACAGCAATCTTCATCCATTCCTTTCATGACCCAACCATGTCTTTGTTATGTTATACCTCAGAAATTGTAAATTCAGATGTCCCACTGACCACAACTTTGGATACTTCTCCAGTTCTGTTATTAAGGCATACTTCTGCCTTAAGTATGCAGCACCTTGACTTTTTCCCCTACCCAGTTAGACCTGCGTTTGTTCTTTTTCCTCCTTAATTACTTAAACCACTTTATTAACCCTCAACTTTTGTATACAACCTGCTGAGTTCAGGCATTTAAAATAATGTAACTGTGGCTAGAGGTATAGCTTAACTGTAGAGTGGGTGCATGGCATGCATGAGGCCCTGGGTTCAATCTCCAGCATCAAAACTACAATAACTCTGGCCTGGTGGTGCATACCTGTAATCCCAGCAACTTGGGAGTCTGAGGCAGGAGGATCACAAGTTTAAGACCACCCTCAGCAATTTAGTGAGGCCCGAAGCAACTTTTCAAGATCCTGTCTCAAAAAATAAAAAGGGATGGGGATGTAGCTCACAGTAAAGTGCCCCTGGGATAAATTTCTAGTACCCATCCCCCCACCTAAAAAAGTACAATAAAATGATGTGATTGGATAGATAGGGACCTCAATGATATCATGACCTCCAACTTGTTGGCGTAAGTACAGCCACCTTCATTTCCCCACCCCCACTTTATGAATACTGTTCTTCAAGAGACAGAAATTTGCTAGTCTCTGTTTTCTCCTTGAGAGATAAAAAGATACTTTTCTCTGTTCTCAAGAAACAATCACTTGCTTTCTGCAAAATCAGGTGATGCTACACCAGTCTGGAGGGCTAAATCTGCCCCTAACAGGAGGGCGGTCATGATTCTGGCCTATAAAAGGTAATACTCCAACTGGGAGTTGCTGCTGCTCTCCCTTGCTTGCTGCTGCTCTCTCTGCACAGAGCAGCCTATCTGGCCTGACCATAAATCTGCTTATGCCTCTCTCCTTGGAGCGTCTCTGTGTGATTAGTCCTTCACCAGTTTTCTTTCACAACTTCAACTAGACCAACAGTACTGCTGGTAAGTTTCAACAGACAGCTCTACCAGTGTCCTCTAAGTCTGTTCCTCTCTGCACCTTTATCACCTCCTTATCTGTTCCTTATCTAATAAAAGAATTTCCAGGGGCTGGGGTTGTGGCTCAGTGGTAGAGCACTTGCTTAGCATGCGTGAAGCACTGGATTTGGTCCTCAGCACCACATATAAATGAATAAAATAAAGGTCCATCAACAACTAAAAAACGTGTGTGTGTGTGTGTGTGTGTGTGTGTGTATGTATGTATGTATGTATGTATGAAGAATTTCCAGTTCTACCACCAAACCTACCTCAGACCCCACCATCTCAGGAAACTGAGGTAACCTCCTGGCTCATTACTATCAACGACCTTCAAATAGTTAACTCATATAGTTTGAAAACTGAAGTCTCTACATGTTGTGTGCCCTTCAAACATCAGTTATTCCTTCACAGTGAAGTCAGGAAACTGCTCCTGCCTGGGTCACCAGAACCACTTTTTCCTTAAATTTTGGGGACACTTAATCTTTATTTTACATGTCTTTGCTGTGGTATTCATCACCATTGACTTCTCTTAGCTGCCCTCCTTACACTGTGGGTGGCTTCTCTCCCTGCCCTTAGGGTCCTATCCTGGGCCTGTCTCTCATCCATTTCCATGGCTTCAGTTATCATTTATTCTCAGATGACTCCAAAATCGCCAGCATCAGCCTTGACCTCTCAAACTTCAGTTACATCCATTTAATTATCTCGATATTTCTACTTGGATGTCCCATAATCATCTCAAACTTACTATGTCCAAACCTGTACTTTCAAACTTGTTACTCCACTCCTAAACCTGGGCAGGTTTCTTGACTCTTTGCTTTCATTCCCCAATGCACTCATTCTCCTAAGCTCTGATCATGTCAGTTCTGAAGATCCTTACAAAGGTCAGATAACCCCACTGTAGTTAATTTTTTTGGTTCAGGCCACTATCTCCCATTTATGTGGTAGCTCTTCTTACCTCTGGTTTTTCGCCATACTGCAGCCAATGGTCTTTCTAAGGTAAACTGGGCTGTGCCAATCCCTAGCTTCAACCCCTTGAACGACTCCATGATCTTGTTTCTGCTGACTTTTCATGTGTAGCCATATTACATGTCATAGAATATTTCTTCTTCTTTTATATCAAGGGATCCTAACCGCCTCGGGCGCAAACACTCCGGTTTCATGGAAAAGGCCAAGCCCTCGACCTGTGGCCATGGGAAGCAAGTGAGCTCTGTCTATCCCTGCGCGTTGGCTGCAGAGGCGAGAAGACGCTGATTCCGTGCTCTCTTGGCAGCACACTTCAATCTTGAGAAGCAGCGATACCTTCCTCTTTCCCCTCGTGAGCAAAGACCAGAGGTGCCGCGCCTTTCCCACTTGCGAGGGGAAAAGGGTCATGGCCCAATCAGATCACAGACCCCTGGGTTCGAGACAAGGACTCTCTCGCCAGCCACGAGGAGTCGCTCTCGGGCTGGACGAGGGCTGGGGTGTTGGGGCCATCCTCGCTACGCATTTTGGCGCAGAGCGCCCTTCCGAAGTCAGGCCGCCTGCTGCTTGCGCAGGCGCACAGCACACTTCCGGTGCCGGGCCGCCTAGCAGCGCCTTCCCAGAAGGATGGTGCTGCTCGGTGGTCGGTTTAAGTATCTTCGGGCGGGACTTGGCACCCGGGCTTCCTCTTCTGGCGCCGAGATGCCTAAGAAAGCTAGTGCGACGAACAAGGCTAGTGTCAAGCCCCATGGCGTTGAGAGGGCGGGCCACCGGCTGATCCCGGAGCGGGTGTGGAAGGCATCTCGGGCGGCTGGTTGTGTCTCAGTCCTCCGTCTCCCCCGCACCTGAGCTCAGTCCTCCTCCTGCACCTGGGCTACTTTGTCCTCGCCATCTACCGGGTGCAGTAGGAACCGGACGCCTGTTCTCGCTTGGAAGGCTCTGTTCTTCTTCCACCGTCTTTGCATGGCTAACTCCAACTCAAGCACTGCTTCCTGCTAGCAGCTTCCCCGCTCTCCCAAGGAGGGCTACTTTCCTCCTCCCTGTGTGCATATTTTTGGTGCACTTAGCCCAGTGTACTGTAATTATGATCGTTCTCTCGCTCTCACTGCAGTCTAACCTCCATGAGGGCAAGGACCTTGTGTCATCTTCATATATCCATTGCCTTCATACTGCCCTCTTAAGTAGTTTGTAATTTTCGAATGGGTTCTAAGTTCCTAGCACAGTCTTTAAATGTCAATCACTGTTGTTCCTTCCACTTCATCTCCTCCAGACACACACATGACATACTCAGGTTTAGACCACATCTAATACAAAAATGAATAGTAGTAAATTGTCCCTGCTTCTGAGGAATGGGAAGTACAAAGCAGATTTAGGAATCCAAAGCACTAAGGTATGGAAGCCAGAGTTGAGTCTTCTTCCAAAGCAGGAAAAAATATTTTGTGGTGTTTATAAGAAAACTTCATGGCATAATCCTTGAAGGACATGGGAAAAACATTCTGAATCAGAAGTCCCTGACTAATAAGCCTACTTTGTTCTGATTAAAGGTGAAGAGGAGTAGTGGAAGAATCAAATGTGTGGGGAAATATTTTTTAACCTGTACAATTATGTTTCTTATTTTAGAGTAAAAGCCAAAGCAAGGAAGCAGAGAGACCACTTCCTCCCTTGGGTCCTGTGGCAGTCGATCCTAAAGGTTGTGTTACCATATCCATCCATGCCAAGCCTGGCTCCAAACAAAATGCTGTAACAGGTACACCTGAACAATGGGTTGGGATTCTTGTGTGAATCAAGTGTCCCTTCCACCTTCCCTTTGCCTCATTTAGCTGACAGTTGATCCTATGACAGTTGAGTATATTTTTACATTTGCATCTAGATTCTCATGTAAAGGTATTTGAAATTGAATACATATTTAAATTATACACAGTTAGATGAAACTATTGTCTTTTCCTTTCTAAAGATATATTGGTAAAAATGTGGTATTTTAAGAAAGCCACTTATGTACAGCCTAGATTATTCTTTTTTAATATATACATTTTTAGTTGTGGGTGAATACAATACCTTTATTTTATTTATTTTTATGTGGTGCTCAGACTCAAATCCAGTGTCTCACATGTTAGGCAAACACTCCACCAGTGAGCCACAATCCCAGCCCTAGATTATTCTTAAGTTTTCCTATCCCAAAACTGAAAAGACAATGGCCAGAGAAAGAAAAGGCATTTCGGTCTCATTTAGTGATCACTGACCTAAGGAATAGGAGAAAATCTGAGATCTAAAACCCCCATCAACTCCTACATGAAATTGTTTTTCAGTCAAAACAATATAAAACATTTCTAGGCCCAGTTTTATCATTTTTCACATTAGATAGTTGGACAAAGAGGCTTTCAAGCTATTCCCTCAAATTCTAGAAATGCCTCAGGAATCTCTTCTGGTGAAGGAGAAAGGCCAGCCAGTTACTTGGCTTCTGTAAATGTGTTTACTTTTGTTTTATTTATTTATTTATTTTTTTAAAGAGAGAGTGTGAGAGAGAGAGAGAGAGAGAGAGAATTTTAATATTTATTTTTTAGTTATCGGCGGACACAACATCTTTGTTTTGTATGTGGTGCTGAGGATCGAACCCGGGCCACACGCATGCCAGGCGAGCGCGCTACCGCTTGAGCCACATCCCCAGCCCCTACTTTTGTTTTAAATATTGGGATTTCAGAGACAATTGGGAAAAATGAAGGATTTTAAAGGATAAAAGTTTAAAAACTATTTATCGAATTGTCTTGAAAGTCTTTTCTACTTCTAAAGCTTTGTATACCAGATTATATTCATATTTTGAAAATAATACCTCACAATTGATGTGCTAGACAGGCCTTATTTGTACTAATGGCCATGTTAGCTTATCTCTATTGGGTACACCCCCTTGGCCAGCATTTATTTTATCAATCTAAGATGGTATCATTTCTATAGTACACAAGTATTTTATGTACCTTAGTAAGACAAAAATTCACATAAACACTTTCTTCTCCATCTACTCTAAGACATGTCTTAATATTCGCATTGTAGGTACAAAACTGGGCATCTGAGATTTGGTGACAGGATGGGAGGAGGGTTGTTTTATGACCTCATTCTTGTGGATTCTCTGGCCATGTTGTTTACATTGGGTGTAAGTGGGTGGAAATGCCTGAGCAACCCCATATGCAGGATCAAGCTCATTTGTAAACTGCTTTGAGTAAATACTTTCCCTTTCTTAATAATAGTGCGTGCAGAGCTATAGGACACATTACTTGATTCCAAATTCCTCACTTATAAATTGGAGATAATAATGGTGTTACTGTCTTCTAAGTCATTATGAGGCTTAGGTTAATATGTATAGAGCCCTTCAAGTATATTCATGTGTGCTTCAAATTGGTGGGTAGTAAATACTATGTAAATGTTAAATAGACATTATCAAATTTTCAAAGCACTTAAGATACATCTCACATAAGAGATGAACCTATCCCACTTTTCCTGATGTGGGAACCCAAACAACCCTGTACAATCCAGCAAGCTGCTTTGCTCATGCACTTCCTTAGTTACCTTATTGGGGCTGAAGCTCAGCTAATTTAATTCCCTACCTGGAGCTCTTTCTATTAGACCAAGTGCAGCTTCTAGTTGCCTAAATCCAGGATGCTCTCCAGGACTCTTAAGTCCATCTTGGTCAACAGGATAGACAAATATTTATTTTCTTTTCTGGATTTATTTTATAATGGTAGTTGCATATGTATCATGTTTATGTTCCTTGAAGTAAGATTAGTTTAATAGTTTTTTTGTGTGTGTTTTGTTGCTGGGGATTAAACCCAATCCAACAGTTATTAATCAAAAATCTAGTATGTGGCAGGCAAATGCAAGCTCTTTTACAAAACTGCCTCACTTTAGGAAGAAAAAGAACCTCAAGGATACAGTACATACCATTTCATTCCAGATTTGACAACTGAAGCTGTAAATGTAGCTATTGCAGCACCTCCGTCAGATGGAGAGGCTAATGCCGAGCTCTGTCGGTATCTTTCCAAGGTTTTAGAACTCAGGAGGAGTGATGTCATTTTGGATAAGGTAGGTCTCTCTTTTTTTCAAACATCTTTGATTATTGCCACATAATCATGATAAAATATTAATTTGCTTCTTCACATTATTTGGACAACCAGTTTGTTTTTAACTCACATATTCATTTAATTACAAAAATCTGAATTCTTCCTGTGTAGTCTCCTGTGTTTCTGCTGCCTCAAACCTTATTCAGAGTTGTCTATACTGTCTTAGATTCCTTAATTGCCACCATTTCTAGCATTTTCTTCCTTCCCAAACCCATTGTGAGGTAATCTTGCAATTCTTCCTTAAGACATCACCACACTAAAAAAATGTAAAATGATTTCTTGTTGTCATCTCCATTGGAGTTCATCAGGTATTTCTAATCCTCCATGTTGTCTTTGTTCACTAGAAGAAGCTCCTCAGGAAATTAGTGGATTCATATGTAGTCATTAGTAACATGGTTTTGTACTTCAAAATCACTGAGGAATGATTCTCAATACAGGTTCCTGGGCATTACCTTAAACATAGAATTTAGAGTGCAGAATCTTGAAATTGAGTATGTAAGTGTGGGACCCAGCCATCTTTATATCTTGAAGTTTTACTTGATTTTCAAGGCTATGTAATATAGATCGTATCTGGTGGCATTCAACATCCTTGATAAATAAACTGCACCTTGATAAATAAACTGCTGTTTCTTCTGCCATCCCCAAGCCGTGGCAGGTCATTTCTTAATTTCTGCCAGTACTCATGTTTGGACATTTGCCTGAAAGGGTCTCCCCACTTTTCTACCTGTACAAATTATGCCAATCTATATAAATTCCTGTTCAGATTTTATCTTTAAAAGATGTGCTTGAGTGGCTTGGGAGTCTAAGGCAGGAGGATTGTGAGTTCAAAGCCAGTCTCAGCAAAAGTGAGGTGTTAAGCAACTTGGTGAGACCCTGTCTCTAAATAAAATACAAAATAGGGCAGGAGATATGGCTTAGGGGTTGAGTGCCCCTGAGTCAATCCCAATACCCCCCCCCCAATAAATAAATAAAAGATGTGCTTGAGAACATATCTTTTTAAAAATTGTTTTAAGTGATAGTGAAATCATAGCACTTGGATATTGTAGTGGCTCTTTGGACTTTTTAAGTTGTAGATGGACACATTGCCCTTATTTTATTTATTTATCTATTTTATGTGTTGCTGAAGAACCCAGTGCTTCACACATGCTAGGCAAGTACTGTACCACTGACCCACAACCCCAGCCCAGCAACTTGTTTTTATTTAAGATTATGCAAAGTTTCTAGAAAATGCAATATTTACTTTGGTATTTTAAAATTATTTGTATCTTTAAACAAAAGAGTTACTTGAAACTAGAATATTGTAATTCATCATTTTGAAATTCTGATGCCAAACTTTTATCATTTTAGAAATTAAGGTATAAAACTAAAAACCTTGATGAGTTGTAAAAATCTATAGTCAGGTGGAAGCAAAGAGATAGTTTTTGGTTGGACCAGATGTGGTCAGGAGAAAGTGTGCATAAGCCATCTATAATGTCCC